GCCCAATGTGGGGCTTGATCCCAGGACCCTGAGATCATGACCTGAGCTGAAGGCAGAGGTTTTAACCCACTGAGCCACCCAGGTGCCCCCCGCACCAAACATTTAAAGAAGAATTAATTCCCATTCTCCTGAAACTGTTCCAAAAAATAAAAATGGAAGGAAAACTTCCAAACTTATTTTATGAGGCCAGCATTATTACCTTGATCCCAAAACCAAAGACCCCATCAAAAAGGAGAATAACAGACCAATATCCTTGATGAACATAGGTGCGAAAATTCTCACCAAAATACTAGCCAGTAGGATCCAACAGTCCATTAAAAGGATGATTCACCACGACCAAACTGAATTTGTTCCTGGACTCCAAAGGTGGTTCGACAACCACAAATCAATGTGATACAACACATTAATAAAAGAACAAGAACCATATGGTACTCTCCATAGATGCTGAAAAAGCATTTGACAAAGTACAGCATCCCTTCCTGATCAAAACTCTTCACAGTGTGGGGATAGAGGGCACATACCTCAATACCATCAAAGCCATCTGTAAAAAACCCACAGCAAATATCATTCTCAATGGAGAAAAACTGAGAGCTTTTCCCCTAAAGTCAGGAACATGGCAGGGCTGTCCACTATCACCACTGCTATTCAACATAGTACTAGAAGTCCCAGCCTCAGCAATCAGACAACAAAGAGAAATTAAAGGCATACAAATTGGCAAAGAAGTCAACCTCTCACTCTTTGCAGGTGATATGATACTTTATGTGGAAAACCCAAAAGATTCCACTCCAAATCTGCTAGAACTTGTACAGGAGTTCAGTAGAGTGTCAAGTTATAAAATCAATGCACAGAAATCAGCTGCATTTCTTTACACCAACAGCAAAACAGAAGAAAGAGAAAGTAAGGAGTCAGTCCCATTTACAATTGCACCCAAAACCGTAAGATACCTAGGAATAAACCTAACCAAAGAGGCAAAGAATCTGTACTCAGAAAACTATAAAGTACTCACGAAAGACATTGAGGAAGACACAAAGAAATGGGAAAACATTCCATGCTCATGGATTGGAAGAACAAATATTATGAGAATGTCTATGTTACCTAGAGCACTCTACACATTTAATGCAATCCGTATCAAAATACCATCAACTTTTTTCAAAGAAATGGAACAAATTATCCTAAAATTTCTATGGAACCAGAAGAGACCCCAAATAGCCAGAGGAATGTTGGAAAAGAAAAGCAAACTCGGCAGCATCACAATTCCAGACTTCAAGCTCTATTACAAAGCTGTCATCATCAAGACAGCATGGTACTGGCACAAAAACAGACACATAGATCAATGGAACAGAATAGAGAGCCCAGAAATGGACCCTCAATTCTATGGTCAACTAATCTTCAACAAAGCAGGAAAGAATGTCCAATGGAAAAGGGACAGTCTCTTCAACAAATGGTGTTGGGAAAATTGGACCCACATGCAGAAGAATGAAACTGGACCATTTGGTTACATCACATACAAAAATAGACTCAAATGGATAAAAGATCTAAATTTGAGACAGAAATCCATCCAAATCCTTGAGGAGACACACAGGCAGCAACATCTTTGACCTCCAAGGCAAGGGAAGCAAGGGCAAAAATGAACTACTGGGACTTCATCAAGATTAAAAGCTTTTGCACAGCAAAGGAAACAGTTAACAAAACCAAAAGACAACCGACAGAATGGGAGAAGATATTTGCAAATGACGTATCAGATAAAGGGCTAGTGTCCAAAATCTATAAAGAACTTATCAAACTCAACACCTAAAGGACAAATAATCCAATCAAGAAACGGGCAGAGGACATGAACAGACATTTCTGCAAAGAAGACATCCAGATGGCCAACAGACACATGAAAAAGTGTTCCATATCACTCGGCATCAGGGAAATACAAATCAAAACCACAATGAGATACCACCTCACACCAGTCAGAATGGCTAAAATTAACAAGTCAGGGAATGACAGATGCTGGCGAGGAAGTGGAGAAAGGGGAACCCTCCTACGCTGTTGGTGGGAAGGCAAGCTGGTGCAGCCACTCTGGGAAACAGCATGGAGGTTCCTCAGAAAGTTGAAAAGAGAGCTACCCTATGACCGAGCAATTGCACTGCTGGGTATTTACCCTAAAGATACAAACGTAGTGATCAGAAGGGGCATGTGCACCCGAATATAGCAGCAACGTCCACAATAGCCACACTATGGAAAGAACCTAGATGTCCATCAACAGATGAATGGATAAAGATGTGGTTCATACACACAATGGAATACTGTGCAGCCATTAAAGAAATGAAATCTTGCCATTTGCAACAGCATGGATGGAACTAGAGGATATTATGCTGAGCGAAGTCAGACAGAGAAAAACAATTATATGATCTCCCTGATATGAGGAAGTGGAGATGCAACTTGGGGGACTTGGGGGTAGGAAAAGAATAAATGAAACAAGATGGGATCGGGAGGGAGACAAACCATAAGAGACTCTTAATCTCACAAAACAAACAGGGTTGCTGGGGGTGGGGAGAAAGGACAGGGTGGCTGGGTGATGGACGTTGGGAGGGTATGTGCTATGGTGAGTGCTGTGAAATGTGTAACACTGACAATTCATAGACCTGTACCCCTGAAACAAATAATACATTATTTGTTAATAAATTAAAAAATAATTTTTAAGGAGACTCCACACCCAGTGTCAGGCCCAACACAGGGCTTGAACTTACAACCTGAGATCAGAACCTGAGCCAAGATCAAGAGTCAGATGCTCACCTGTTTGAGCCACCCAGGCGCCCCAGGAACCAGCACTTTAAAAAACCGAAATGGGAGAGAAAACATGAGAGTTCCTCGTGTGTAATACAGCTAACACAGGGGCCGTGTGTGGATGCAGACACATCTATCATGTAGACAAAGTTTCCGTACCACATGTCCACCTCACGGCGAGTCACAGAACGTTGTCCTTGGTGGGTCACTCTCTCCAGGCAGGCTTCCTCGGGGTCCTGGGTAGGGGTGGGCGGAGGCACACTTCTCCCGGCATCCCTGGAGCAGAACCAGACCGCGTCACAGTGAAATAAAGGGACAGACTCGTTTCCGACATCATGCCTGTTGTGTGCACACGTGTAGACGCCAGCGTAGTCTGTCTGCCAAGACGGCAGACAGGTTTTCAGACCGGGCTCGCTTCGGCTCCTGTCCCTGGGTCATCTCTGTGTTTGCTTTGCTGTTGTACTTTTTTTTTTCATTATTTTTCCTCCTTTTTGGTACATTCATGTGTCTCTTTCCACCTTTCCTTCTTGTCTTCTTATGTATTTGAGCCCATATTCCAGGTACACTATCATGACAGGGTCTGTGATGTTGTGTCCCACCCAGGGGCTCACATCTGGACACACAGCCCTTCGGCAGTTGTTCGAGATATAAAAACAATGTGCACACGTGTGCATGCGCGTGTGTGCACGCCCACGTGCCCTGGGCTAAGGCTTCCCATGTAGTTAACAGCACATCTCCTGGCTTTCTGCTTGTCCCTCTGTTAACTTTCCAATGTCACCAGTAACTGATTTTCATGCCGACACTTGGGGTTTCTGTCCTCACTGGACATTCACTGTCTGGCTTCGGCTTCACTGACGGTTCCTGCCTCGGAAGGAGGAATTTATCTGTGTCTCACACTTGACCTTCCAGTCCCTTAAAAGAATTCTTCAAGTTATCATTCATTAAAGGCAATAGCTTGTCTCCCGGCCTCAAAGTCCTCTGATCGGGGACCCGAATTCTGCACCTGGCTTCCAGCTGGGACTTTCGGTCACACAGTACGTCTTGTCCTCCTGGGGTGAGTTCCGGGGTGCGCGGCACAGTGGGGAGATCATTCACGCCCCCCGCACCTCAATGTCATTGTCAGCGGTTACTTCAGACCATGGGGACACCCAGCCTTACCGTGTGTCACAGGCAGTCAGTACACAGCGTGTGTGGTCACGTGGAGGTGGCACAGACGTGTCCCCTTGTCGCTCTGACGACGCAGCTATGCACGGCTCACAGCAGCACCGAGACACGGGAAGTGCGCGCAGCGGGGAGCGGTGAGGTACACACGGGCACCGAATCCTCTCACCGGCCCGATTTGGGGCGCAGGCACATGCATCTGGGAATGACGTTTTAGGTCGGCTTGTGTTAACTGCACGGATCATTTCTGTCGGATCACTTGCCCGTTGCTGCCCTTCAAACCACCTCAACACAAAGGGGCTTAAAGAGCCCCGGTTTCCCATGGCCGTGGGGGCTGGTGGCTGGGCCCGGGCTCGGGGGCGGCTCCTGCCGGCCGCACCTGTCTGCTGCTGGGCCCGCACTCCCTCTGCGGTGGGCCAAGGCCTGCAGCTCCTGCGGGGTCGGCCGGCCGTCTCCCCGCAGATCCTCGTCCCCAAGGAGGCAGCTGGCCTGGCTGGGAGGTGGCAGTGCTCTGGGAAGTGAGAGACAGTGACACGGCTTCCCATGGCTGCGACCCGGAAGTCACTCGCCGGCCTCCCCCCGGGCTCTGTGGGCCAACACTAATCCCCAGGCCGGCCCAGAGCCGAGGGGTCACGAGAGCCACCATGCGACCCAAAGCCTTTAGTCCACGTACCCGTGGGCATGTCCATGTTAGTGCGTGCAGCTCAGGGAACACGCAGACTCGGGGTCACGCCACCACACAAAGCCCCCTCACTTGCATGAAGGAAATGCTCATCTAACTGAAATTCCAGCCAAATGCTTTCCAGGGCCTGTGGCTCACACTTCGCAAGAATTGCTCCTTTCTCGCTGCCCAGCCCGTTTCCTGGGCTGAACTCAGCTCAGGTTTTCCCACCGGGAGGGGCAGATCATTCGTGCCGTGAACTGTGTGAAGGTTACGGGGGGCGGGGGGTGCGGACAGGTGCGGAGAGGTGGGAGCCCTGCGGCTTCGGAGCGGCGTCTCGGGTCTTTGCTCCCGTGGCGTCCAGTGCCTTCTCCCCACTAAGAACACCTGAACTCTTCCCTTGCAGGGATTAACCAAAGTGCTGATAACTTACACATCTTTCTCCTGGTGTGTGGCCTTAGACAAGTTAAGGACCCTCTTTACTTGGTGGATGTGTTCTCAGGTACGTTTCGTTGACAGAATTCTGTCTGGGGTCTGGTCTCAGCCTACTTCTCTGTAGGATTTTCAGTCTTCCCGTCTCCGTCTTCCCACATGAGCAGAACCGCTTCTAGGTGGGTACTCTGGAAACAACCAGAAAAATAAGAGCACTGGGTAGTGTCCGTTTCTACTCTCCTGTGCCCTCGGCTTCTGAGGAAATCACAAAAACAGTGAATAATTGTAAGAATAAGATAATCTTGCCTGGAAATGTCTCACACACGTCAGTTTGTAGGACACGTTTGGAGATTTGCTGCGTTGCCTGAATCACCCCTAAGTCCACGTTGGCTTGTGGAAGTGTTTCCTCCTGGTTGTTCCAATAGGGGCGAGATCTGGATAATGCACAACATTCTAGAAAAAGCATTTTACTTAGAATAATACAACGTTCGGTGTTTACATTTCAAATACATAGAATTTGACTGTTGAATGAACAGTGATAAGAAATAATGTATATTATCATATAATTAATGTTAAACTTAATTACGTTTCCATTTATGGCATAAAACCACTGAATTTTTTTTCTCTTTCTTCCCAAGAATGGCATCGTGAAGAGCCTAACGTCTACATGGTGATCGCAGGCCCTGAAGTAAGTCCGCGCACCGCAAGCACTGCTGTCCTGTCTTTATACTATGTGTTTTCTAAAATTAGTTGCCATTTCTCTTTAACCACGTTATTTTCTTCCCGTCAAAGTAATTAAAGTCTACTTTTTTATAAATGAAAACCACGTGTAAGGGTGAGGAGGTTTTGTAATTCCTCGCAGCTCATCGACTGCTACAGCGGGTAGGTTTTCACGGGAATGCGGCAGTCCGAGTTGGTGCGTGGGGCGCGTGGGGTACGTGGCCCACGCACCTGAAACTGCTTTACGCTGCACAGCAAACCACGCAGAGCCGTCCCTTTGCCGAGCACCGGGTGAGCTGGCCGACTTGCATTTAGGACCCAAGCGGTGTGGGAAGTAACTATCCGTGAGCGCGGGAGAGCAGAGGCCAGCAGAAGCCCTGGGAGACCCTGTGTCTCTTTGCACGGGCCTCCAGGAGAGTCGTTGCTCCCCTCAACAGTGCGGGTCAAGCACGTGCAGCTCTGTCCCACACGCAGGGCCGAGCACTCGGGAGTCAGAGCATCGGGGTGGAGACTCCTCCTGAGAACGAACTGTGATTTACTCCAGGCTCTCTGGGAAACGAAGCGGGCTTTGTGCTTCCAGCAGGGAGCGATGGGACCGTGCCCCCATGGGGTTGTCTATGACAGGGCAGCAGATGGCACACCCTGGGGAAAGGCATCGCTCATTTCCTTGGTCCTGTTTGCCAAACCGGGATAGTTGAGCTTGTGACCTCGCCGTGTCACCCACTGTATTCATGGGGGGTGCCCCTGAGAACGTAAACGAGTGGGTTCCCGCACACCGCAGTCTTACCTGCTCTGCACGCTCTTCTGTGGGTTCCGGCCCCCTGGGGACACACACGGCATGCAGCGGGGGACACGCACTTGTCTCCGTATTCCCAGACTTTTGGAGACAGTACGTTTACCTGGAAAGAGACCCCGTAACCTAATAAAAATAGCGAGGGCTCGACTCTGCCCTTGAAAAATGAACCACTCCACGTTCAGTGCGAGTGTTTGATGCAACACGCACTCACACACACACACGCCTGCACACGTGCTCGGCCGCAGCCTCCCGGTAGCAACAAGATGACCCCGGGGCCCTGCTGCGTGTGAAGTCCCCTCGCGGCCGAGCTGTTTATGACGAGGATGTTTTAATTCTGTTTCCATCCTTCCATCCGGAGAGCGTTGCTGAAAGGAAAAGTTAGAGTTAGATGCGGAAATCCCCACTACCGGAGAGAGAAAGCCTCAGACTTAGAAAGAATTTAGCGATGTGGTTTCTCATTTCCACTATTTCCGTTTTCATGGCGATGTTCTATTTATGGCATGTGATGCTGGCTTTCCAACTATGAAGATTTTCTTTAAAAATAAATTGAATTGGCTTCAGAAAAATATCAAATAAGGAGCCGTACAGATGGTACGCAGATACAACAAATTACAAAAATCCACGCAATGGCCCGAGTCCGGGGAAGAGCTGTTATGAAGTGTTCGTGTCCGGGTGCAAGAGACCCCACAACGTGGCCTTGCTGGACAGAAGCGCCGGCCCGCGCCCCACCACAGAAGACCCCGTCCGCCCGGGTCTCTGTACCGCGTTTCCATGTGCGGAAACCTGCCCGGGGGCTTAGGAACACTCCGGAAGCAGGGAGCTCGTGACAGCAACCCCTTCCCCGGGGGCGCCGGAGCTGGGGCAGTGACCGGGGGAGGGGCGGCAGGGAGGGGCGGCTGGCCCCGGCGTCCCCTCCCCAGACCCACCTGTGTCCCTCCGTTCAGCCTGCCAGCAGCGGGGACAGTCCCAGCGTGGCTGCCTCCTGAGGGCTTCTCAAGCGCTGGTCTTCCGGGAGACACGGTTGTCATCTTGCCATTTCAACTGAACGGTGACGCTGTGTCTCACATCCCAAAGAAATGCGGTCTTTGTACCACTTGCTATCGCACACACACGGGGCCCACAACGTGCATCGCTGTTATATCTGTGTCTTTAGCTTCTGGAAGGAGGTGGTGCTTTGGCGCCAGGAGAGGAAGTGCAGGTCTGTGGCGATGCCGGAGAGCACGTCACCAGGAGCGTTCATGATTCCAGAGCTTCCAGGGGCTCCTCCGGGCTGTTTCCCAGCCGGAGTAGTAGCCCTGCAATGCCGAAGAACAGGGCTTGCTTGGCAGGTGCAGGTCTGAGACGAGCCCCAGGACGGTCACCAGCTAGAGCGCCTGCCGGGGCCCCCAGGGACTGTCTGGAGCTGCGTGGACAGCCCGCCTTGGTCTGCTTCTGTGGAGCAAAGACCCCAAGCAGTGACGGGGGGTGGGGGCTAGGAAATGGCACACTTGAGTTGGGGGTCCAGGACCCTCCGTGAAAGGTTATGACCAGAGACTCCCGGCCCTTCAGCTCACCGATCTCCAATGATCGAAGGCGGGTCTATCTACAAGGCACTGCACTACCATGAACCGAAACCGCGGCGGGAAACGGGAGGTGCATCTCTCCGCTGCAGGTTTGCCGCCCAGCAGAAGCAGGAGTCAACACCTGCCCGTGTCATGGCCACACTCCGCCTGGAGCTTTCCTGGGGTCTGCCTGCTTCTCCCCACTGCCCAGGGAGACGGTTCTCCCCTACCTCAGTCGGCTTCGGGTAATGTGGCGTCACGCACTTCCTGGCCCGAGTACAGAAGTGAAGGCTTCGGGTCTGACACGTTCATACACGTCTGGTCCGTTTGGGCAACAGAATCCCATGGATGGGCTGGCGGACCAGCAACAGAGACCTGGTTCTCCTGTCCTGGAGGCCGGAAGTCTGAGAGGGAGGTGCCGGCGAGGCCTCTTCATGGCCGAGGGACGCTCTCCGGGGTCATTTGGGAGACTTGATCCCATCGGTTAAGACTGATCTTATTTCTAAGGCCTCCACCTTCATGACCCACTCACCTCCCAAAGACCTCACCTCCTGACGCCATCATCTTTGGGGATTCGGATTCAGGGTATGAATTAGGGGTGTGGGGGACACAACAGGCCATAGAAATACCCCTACCTCATAAGAGGTCTCTCTCAGACCTAAGGGAAAAACAAAAAGCCCCATCCAAACCGTGGTGCCATCTCAGCAGACAGGATAATTTGAGCTTCTAAAAGGCAGCATCGAATCCACAGGGTCACAAACTCCTCCAGACAAGTTGTTCTCTTCTTGATTCTTTGTGTCCCATGGAAGACAGACGTGATGCGTCCAGACACACATCTCAGATCCCCTGGGAACCTGGGCGGGCTGGTGTCTAAGGCTCACTTGTTTGCTTCCTAACCGTGACCTGGGGTACGCTGGTGAGTGTCCAGCAACTGGTGCTCGTGGGGAACAGGACACGGAGCCTTTTTCTGGAAGCCCCAGTGGCCTGTTGCCACAGTGTGGAAGCTTCCGCCACGGCCAGTTTGCAGTTAACAGGGGACGTCTCTGAAGACAGTGGAGATGCACGCGCGGCCGGGGCGGGGGGGGGTGCGCAGACCCAGGCAGCACGGGGTGCGTGCACACACACACGCACATCACCGGACGAGCGTCGCTAGGCGGGGCTGCTCTCGCTTCACACAGCTCTGCACTCTGGGCCTTGCTCTTGATGCAGCTCCACGCCCAGCAGCGCCTGAACACGACTAAGATTGAGACCCGAGCTGAGATCAAGAGTCAGACGCTTAACTCTGGTCCTTTCTGGAAGACTGTGCTGTGCCTTGCTATGTGATGCTGTTCTCTTCCATGTTATTTTTAAAAAAGCTTGTTTTTGCCCAAAAATCAGTCTCCTGATTTCCTTCCTAATCTGACATGTGAAAATCACTGACTTGGCCACGCCGGATGGGGTCGGTCCCACTAGGCGTCCATTCTCTCCGAGGCCAGCGTGCGCGGCAGCTCCCGCCGTGGGCGCCTCTCCCCAGACGTTGGCCTGGCTCGGTCGGGACCGGCAGCTACGCTCTCGCTGACCACCCGCCCAGCCCAGCCCCCACGTTCATCCTTACAGGATCTCTGGACATCTGTCCGCCTTCATGGTGGAGGATTCAATCGGACATCATGTCTGAAGACCAAACGGGGGGGGTGAATTTTACACTTGAAATTGAATCCTTGCAACATCGGTGATTAATCTGGAAATGGATTTTCAAAGCGGGTCAGAGTTCAAACCTTGGGACACACCAAAACCCATGCTTTAACGACTGTGTCGTGTAGGGGACTGCCATTATCTGTGGCATCTGACGGGAATTCACTCCTCATTCTGCGTCCTCCTTTGTTAACTGCAAAGTTCCGTGGCTGGATGAACTACGCAGAGGTCACGCGCTGGCTGCCCTGGACAAAACTGCACTGACTCGGTGAGCTAAGGCATCTGGAACGGTCTCTCATTAGGGAATCGGCGCGGTGCACACAGCAGGGGTCCCTCTGGTCCTTTCTGTGCGTGCAGCCCCATCACATGGGACACACCAGTGAGGACATCAGCACCGCTCAGTCAGCGTCCCTCGGCCGCAGGCGTCACACCAACTCCAAATGCAACTTACAGGAAGACAAGAGCCACCAAGAGAGTAGCTGGGGACTAGAGGTCAGCCGGGAAGGTGCCGTCCAGGACACCCCCTGGGGAGGAGTGAGCTCCACCCACTTCACAGTCTCTGGATCCTTCAGTTCCAGGTCCGGGACCCAGTTCGGGTTACATCCCACCCTTTTGTAAGGAGAGGACTAGGCACCTGGTTCCACTTTGACCAACTGTGTCCACGGGAGGAGGTGAGGAGGAACCAAAGGAAGGGGCTCTGGCAGAAGAGGTGGATGCTGAAAGGTCCGAGGAGAAAGTAGACATCCGCGGCACGTGCAAATGCCCTGTTGGTGCAGACGTGCGGACGGAGGAAGGGAAGACGCTTATCAGTCAGTTGATGGGAGTAAACAGCCACAACGTTGGGTCCTTGGGGTGGCCTCAGTGCTTTCCTTGGGGAAACGGAAAGAACGCCCTTCGGTGGGGAAGACTGCTCGGCTGCCCGAATCTGCTGTGTCCTCCTCGGGATGGGCTGCTGGGCGA